TTTTGATGATGTCAAAAAGGGGGAGAAATAGAATATGATTTTCATATAACCTAAAGAGAATGCAAAACATCAACTCTGATATAAACTGCGTTTACTACTAACCATGTGTTTGATGTCCTACCGAGGAACTCTGAACAAGTTCACTAGGCATTCTCTGAACAGGTCAAATGAAAGAACTCTGAGTTCAAACGATCTGGTTGTTCATATAATCGAAGTTATACACTTCGTAAACATATGTTCATAATCAGATGGACCCAGTACTGTTCAGAGGTTGAAATATCTTTGAAAGTTAAAGTCATCTGGAATCATAATGTTCAGAAGATGTAAATTGTCTGTAAATATGATAATCAGAGAATAAGAATCAGAAATCTTCATAAAAGCAAGAATTGGTTTCAGACTCAGAATCAAGAATTAGTATCAGATTCAGAATTAAGCTTATTGATATCAGAATCAGAATCAATTACTCTCAACTGATCAAGAATCAAATCTGATTAATGCTTCGAGCTCTGATAGAACCAAGGATCTGAGATGAAGACCTATGTTCTAGTCAAACTCTGAAAAAGCAAGTCTGTAATGACAAATCTGAAGACTGTATCAAGTTCTGAAGATCTTAATATTTGACCTAGTGTAACCAGGGGGAGTTCACCCATAAAGGTTCACAAGTCATAATATTTGATCTTCACCCAGTCTAACATTCAGGGGGAGCTGTTGCTTGAAACTTCGAATATGTTATGCTTGGTGTTTACCCTGTATAAAATGTTCTATCAAAATACATGTTTTTGTCATCATTTAAAAGGGAGAGATTGTAAGAACAAGAATTGTCTCTACAAGATTATCTCTATGTTTTGATGATAACAATGAAGTATTTGTGAAAGAACTATTTTATGTTCTAATGTTTGTTATGTGCAGATCACGTTTATTAAATATATCAGATCAAACAAACTCTATCAAGATGTGCATTTAATTCTATATGTGAGTTACTATGTGTGACAAGTCACAAAGCGTGTTTAAGAAGCGAGTATGCCTCTGTATCTAATCACGATCAGAAAGATCCAAGGATGCTGGAAATTGAGGTTGCAATGTTCCTGTGAATTCTGCTCTGAGAAGTGAATCTGATCTTGAAGCTAACAACGCGTCTGAAGATACAGTCCTCTGAAGAACCAAGTGATGAAGACTCTAATGACTTGAAGCTCTGAAGGTTGAAGGCTCTGAAGACCAAGTGCAGAAAGACTCTGAAGACTTAGGGGTTCTGAAGATCAAGACTCTGAAGATATAATCCTCTGAAGATCTACGTGCTGAAGACTCTGATGACTTGAAGCTCTGAAGGCTGAAGGCTCTGAAGACTAAGTGCAGAAAGACTCTGAAGACTAGATTCTAAAGTTGAAGATTATATAGCGTCACCCAGACAAAGACTTGTTACTCAGATAAGTTGTTGCTATCCATTCTGATAAACAAGGTGCTTAAGTCTAACGACTCTGATGCTGCTGTGTTATCTTACCAAAGTAGTTTCTGAACTACTCATCAGATACATCATCAAAAGAACCAAGACAAGAAGATGATTTATTCAATCTAATAAACAAAGATCACAACATATGCAAATATTCCACGTGATATATTAACGTTACAAGAAAAGGACAAAAGAGAATAACATCACTGTACTATTCAACACGTGATTATTCTATCCGTTGGGATATGACCGTTGGAATTTGAAAGGACATCTCTACCCTCACATCAACTATCTTGTATACACTATAAAAGAAGAACATTTGATTCATTCAAATGTTAGCTTGTTGGCAAGCATGTTAGCTTGTTAGAAAGCAAGTAATATGGAAACTAGTGCTTTAATAATCTCGTAGAGATTTATCTTTAAATATAGTTTCTGTATTAGGAAGCAAGGAGTTGTTGCTCAATACTTGCCATGTACTTTAATTAGGAGTAATCTACTTGATAAGAAGCACTCATGTAATCTCCGGCAACACAAATTCAATTTAGAATTAGTGGTTCCTCAAGTGATCAAGTGAAGATCAGAATACTTGAGAAGACGGGTGGCTGTTGTCATCGTGATTGAAATCCTAATAGGAGATCTTGAGGGATCGGATTCTGTTAACTCAATGAACGTTATATCTGAACGTGTTATTGTCTGATTGTTAGTCACCAGCAGTTTGCTTGTGCATCTGTAATCAGTTTGGTTATAGTGGATTAAGACCTCATTTGAGAGAGGCAAAATCACCTTGGAATGGTGGACTGGATTAGCTTGAAAGTTGCTCAAGTGAACCAGGATATATCATGTGTTCTTTACTTGTATTATGCTTTATCATTTATGCTTCCGCAATGCATCTTATAGAATCACGTAAAGCAACAAGTGAAGAGGCGAAAAAGTTTATTAAGGTGCAAACCCAATTCAACCCCCCCCCCCCCCCCCCCTCTCTTGTGTTTGTCTCACACCTTCACCTTCCTCAGCAGAGAGGCAGAGGAGAAAATGTTTTCTTTTGCCCTTAACTGACAAAGCTTAGACCATTGGATCGTTCTGGGAGCAGAAGTGGATTAAATCATGTCTAACCATTGGGTCAATCTGAAACAATATTATTCTAAAATAAATGTCCCTTCAAAAGAAAAAATTTCTAAAATAAATGTGGCAATTAATTAGTTTACCTAAATTTTATAATAAAAATAATTTTGTAAGCCTAACCGACAACTTGTTACCATTTTTTAGGCATGATAAATAGGAACAAAAAATTGAATGCACATGATAAAAAATGATTAGGATTGTGGTGTTTAATACCGCAATATATATCGTGTTTTTTGTTTAATTTGCCTGTGTTTTGTTCTCGATTTTATAAATTTTTGTAGTTTTAGGCTGGTATTATGTTCATGTTTCAAGTAATTGTCAGTGAGAAGTTTCCATGGAAAGAAAGAGTTAAAAAACGACAAAAACGAAAAAAAATACAAGTACCTTGATGTCATGACGACCTCTACAGAGCCATGACGGTGGTCAACCCATCATGGAAAAGTCAACAAAAATAAAGAAATTACACTTGAGAAGCTGTGATGGACGGATCATTTGAGTCATAATGACCATGACGGTGGTCAACCCATCATGGAAAAGTCAACAAAAATAAAGAAATTACACTTGAGAAGCTGTGATGGACGGATCATTTGAGTCATAATGACCTGACCGTCAACTAAGCTCAAAGAAATGACGGACATGTAGTCAGCCTCATGACGCCCGTCATAAATCTCAGCCTCGTAACAGACAGGTCGTCACCAACATTCGTCATGTTGGGTCAGCCCAATTTTCCCACCTGCTTTAAGAAATTATGTAGTCATGTTGGGTCAGCCCAGTTTTTCCACCTGCTTTAAGAAATTATGTAGCTATTATCTCCGTTATTTTATACACGTTTTTATCAATTACCAGCATTTATTTGACACTATAAATAATTCTTTTTAGGATAATTTGAATAGTCAAACTTATTGTAAAATTAGAATTTATTTTTTAAAAAAATACATTTATCGTAAAAATAATTATTATTTCACACAGAACAATATTGCGCTTTTTAGATTTATATGGTGAGACTTTTATATCAAAACAGAACTTGTAGCTCATAGATGGTGGCAAAGTACTTTCTTGAACAAATGAACTTCTGTTTGAATCCCCTTTGAGGCAGTTTTTGGATTTTTTGCTTTTAAAATTTTTAAACCTTTACAAATAAGCTGACGTGGATCTTTAAGAAAAACGAAGAAAAAAAACTAATAAACAATCCATATCATTAAAAAAATTTAAAATTAAAAAAAGACATATATTTACCACATCAAAGATTCTAGTGATTTAGATTGAAAAGAAATTAAAACAAGAAAATCTTAAAATATTAAAGATGAAAATCAATTCTTTTTAACAAAGAAATTTTCAAAGATCACTCGTATAGTAAGTGGCAAATACTTATTAACCCAAAACGCTATTATAAGTTGAAAATTTATTAAAGTATTTTAAATGCTTTTAAATCCATTGTCTCATAGAGTGCTGATAACTGTTCAGAGTATCAGCACTGCAAGGAGTACCTCAAATGATTGAAATTTGAGGGGCACAAGAGAGTCACAAATGGTTAAAACAAACAAGTCCAAGCTTTCTATTTTTATTACAACCCCAAATTTAATCATGACCAAAAAATAATGCAGCAACATCAAGAAGTTCATTGGTTTAGACTGACCACACACCATTTCAATTATAGCATAACTAAAAACTAAGCTCACAAAGTCACCATTTGATTATGCCCAACTTCAATCATGACAGGGGGGAAAAACAATAGATTATGTTAACTAAGTGTGAAGTTTAAGCACTGTGAAATGCATATATTCTGTCTTATGCAGAAAAAGCATCAATAGAAATACTATACTATATATGACCATTGTTGATGCAGCGAGACAATTATAAACCAACCCATAAACATTTCACCGATTCTTAGTCACAAAATGAAATCAAGAGTCTTGGTTTATTAAAGACAACATAGAGAAACTTAATCATCAAACAATAGAGACAAAATACAGAGACACTATATGGATAAACAGCTTAATCAAGTATTTATGAATAAGCTATTTCTATAACAAAAGATTAAATAAAGTCAATAGTTCTTCTCATATAAGCTATAAGTTGTTTGTTTCAGTTATTCTAGTTATTTCAAAGAGTTTACGAAAATAAATTGAAACCAGCTTATAGACATATCATAATTGCTTCCACAAGCTCTCCCCAAACGGTGTCAAAGTGCTTTAGACAAACTGAAATAATTCAATCCAAACAAGCACAAATAATCCAATCCAAACAGACCTAAAGAACAGAGTAAATAGAATCATACTCACTATAATATAATAGTTAAACAAAATTTCAGTAGATTCCAAGAAAACTAAGAATCAATTTTACAGTGATCCAATTACACAAAGAGAAGGATACACCAATACAGAGAAAACCCATCACTAAAATTTCATAAAAACCCAAACTTTGAACCATTTCAAAGCTCATCCTCCATCCTCAAATACTCCCCTATATCACCCTGATGAAGAACCACAATCCCATTAGGATCCAACTTCCTACAATCCTGTGTAGACTTCGCCGCAACCCCAAACCCCAAAGGCACATCCGCCATATTAAATACCACAACCCCGTCACCCGCAACAATATTCTCCGTAATCCTACCCAACGCACTTTTCAACACATGGTTCCCATACAAAAACGACATCTCAGATTGAGTTTTAAGCCATACCTTATGCTTAGCATTCGCAGCTAGCAAATTCAGCGCTTGAACCGTGAGGTGGAAGTTTCCACCGTGAGTGTATTTTCCGATACATGTTCCGAGTGAAACGAGGTTGGGTCTGGCGATGTTGGTGGCTCGTTTGACGAGCGACTCGCTGCAGTAGTAGATCTTGTTCTTGTTGAGACGGAAACAATAGCGACCAGGGGTGGAATCTGGACCTTCATGGGAGGGATTCTCGACGAGGTTTTTGAGGTTGTTGCCGACGAATTTGAAGAGCTTTTCGAAGACGACGCTGGTTTCAGTCTCGTCTAAAGGTCTCATTTTTGCGTTTTAGGGTTTAAGGAATTGGGATTTAGGGTTTTGTTGAAACGAAAATGAAATAGAATTCGGTAGAATAAAAAACTCTTGAATGTTTGGACTAGGTTTAACGTTTAGTTTGGGCTCAATTTTTTCAAGCCCAATGGCATTGATTTCTTAGTATTTTATATCACTTTTTCTCTAGATATTAAACAATTATGAATAATATTGACAAAATTAAAATTAATATTATATATATATATATATATATATATATATATATATATATATATATATATATATATATATATATATATATATATATATATATATATATATATATATATATATATATATATATATATATATATATATATATATATATATATATATATATATATATATATATATATATATATATATATATATATATATATATATATATATATATATATAAACTAATTAAAAAAAGACATTTAAAAAGATATAATAGAGTAAAACTTTAGCCAAAAAAACAATTTTGATCTTGTGAAAATTTTAAATGCTTAAGGTAACATTAGGGTTAGACAAAAACCAATCAAATCGAGAAAATTTGACCTACCCAAACTCAATTTCATTCTGATTGCATCGAGAGTCAATGGGTTAAATGGGTGCTTAATTCGATTTTTAATGTAGTGCATCGGTTCAGATAAAAATATTGGGTCCGTCTGTAACTGGACCCGGCCGAGCCCAGTTAATATTTTATTATTATATTAATATTAGGAAATTTCTTTTTTCACTTTAAGGGTGTGACTCACACCTCTGAAAACTCAAAATTGATCTCAACTGTTTTCGGATATGCATCTTCGGACGCACTTTAAATGACTCCATTTTTCGTAAATCAAATAGTCACCGCGTTTTTTTTAAAAAGTGATATGGAGATGCATCTCCAAAATTTTCTATGATGAATTCGCAGATGCATCTCAAAAAACACCCCTGGCCCTATTTACTACACGCCCTATTTACTACAAGTTTTTCATTGAAATTGGCATCGTTTCCAGGACTCTGACTATTTTAACTAATATTAGAGTTGTAGGAATTGTATCCTCACGCTCTGACCCTTGTGCTCCTGCGTTTCTGGCATTTACGCGATCTAGCGTAAAAACCTCAATTTTCTAGAAAATTGACTCTGAATAGAAATTTTACCGAGACATTTCATTAGAAAAAAATCCTTGATTTTCTATTTTATCTGATTTATTTTTTGTTTTCATATTTTTCGAAAAAATCCAAAAAATAAATAGATTTGTTTATTTTATTTTATTTTATTTTTAGTTGTATTTTCATATTTTTATACTTTTATTTTAATGGTCTTTCTATTTTTCAATTGTTTTTCTCAACAGGGACATTGTTGATATTTACATATTTGTTATATTGTTGATGCATGACTACTAGGTTTTCCTATCTGGATCAACCCCATGCTAAATTAAAAAATAGTGTGTCAAAAAACATTTTTTTTTCGTAAAAAAAAAGTGTCAGAACATGCATCTCTGAAATTAAGTATAATAGGGGTGACTCACTCGTTTTCATTCAATTTTGTGGAAAATGAGTGCACTCGGAGATGTATCTTCAAATTATATACATTTTTGGGTTTTCACACAAGTTTGGTGAGAAGGTATGATGGTGGAAAAAAATTTCCTAATATTAATATCATTTAATAGTCATATTTGAATTACACCTAATAACCCTAATTCCTTTCTCTCTGTCTCTCACTTCTGTCTTTCTTTCTTTTTCTTTTGTATCCGCCACCGCTGTTGTATAATCACTTCTCCGACTCCTTTTTCTTCGTCTCACATTTGCATCCCTCTTTTATTGTCATATCACCATCAATATGCCTTCAATGTCTTCTCATATTCACTTGACTTCTTGTACTATTTATTCTCATAGGTTGAACTAATTTGAAAAGTTACAAGAGGTGATAGTGCAAGCTTGATGACATGCAATCATTCAAAAGGTTGTTTTTATTTTTAATTTTTATGGTCTGGACAACTCTGAAAGTGATCTTGTAATTTTTGAATTGTATTATTTGTCTTTTTTTTTAAGTTAGTTTAACATTTGGGTTTGGTGAATTGGAAGGTTAAATCATATGTTTTTTTAAATTAGATACAAAGCTTCTATTTGGGTAGACGGTAAGTTGTGTATCACAAAAATTTATTTATGGTTGAGATTTTTTAATATGTAATTTTTGGTTCTATGATCTATAAGATTTTTGCATTTAAAAAATGTTGGATTTTGATCATACAACTTAATTAAAATGATGACTGAGGTTTTCAGATATCACATGATCTTGAAAAAGAAAACCAAAGAATGAAGGAACTTGTACTTAGGAGAAGTGAATAAGAACATTATAAAAGTGAATCAAATTGTAAAATGGTTTAAATTAATTTAATTTTAAAAGAATTAAATGATTTTAAATATTTCAGTTTTTTTACATAATCTTAATTCTTTTTTGTTAAAAAAAAGGTAAATTTTGATTTTGTTGAATGAACTTGAGTTTGGAATAATTTAAAATAAAAATAAGAGTAAGGTTGAACAATTGTTTCCTTTGGTGCTAGCATGACGTGCACCATGTGTTTGAAGAACTTGATCATCAGCATTATTATCATCATTTTCATCTGTGTGTTATGGTAAGGATCCACTTATTCTCTACAACAATATATCAATACATAATAAACACATTTCTATCTTTTCTAACTTTTCAAGTTAAACACAATATATCACACATTTCATATAAAACACTAGCATTTCAGATAAAACACTTACAGCAGATGACTCTTCTAACTTTTCTATGTCTTTCTTCCGACTTTCGTGCTAGGCTTCTAACATCTTTCTTTGCTCTTCTAACTCCTTCTCAACAAGAGCAAGTTTTTCTCTATGCTCTTGTAATTCAACATTGTCGGCACTTTTTTTGGTTGGACCAAAGAATAATCTAAGGTTGACGCCTTCTCCAACACCACGAATGCACCCACCATGTTCATCTATTCCAATAGCCTCGACTAGTATATCATGTCATGGTTCTTGAACAAATGAGCCTCCATGGGCCTCCTCAACCAATAAATCCTACATAACATGCATGATAATATTAATATTGTAATTACCGCAACATTTAAATAACACATAACATACGTATAACAAATCATACTTATAATTTTCTCAGCACCTGTTCTTGAAGCATTTGAGGTGTACTCCCCATTTGGTCTTAGTCGAAACTTTTTCCACTTCTCATGTCTTGACGATGGAGATGAGTTACGATCACGACTAATGGAATTCTCATCTCTCATTTGTTTTTTTTCCTCCATCATTTTTTCTCCAGTTTTCTGTAACTCCCACGAGACAATCTATGGGAGTAAATGTTTTTTGCTTTATTTTGAAATTATGCTTGACTTTTTATTTGTTATAAACATAGTGAAAATATGATTAATATCTATAAATCATTAGCATCAAATTCTCAAGATGAATAAGACTAGTACTAACCAGGAATTTCTCAGAACGACGACCCTTTGCAAACTTTTTCCAAACCGTCTTCTAGAGAAAACTGTACCTCACTCATGGACGCTCAAGACCAATCTTAGGATTCCTGATGTAGTCACGCGTGAGCTGTGACTTAAAGCCTTTCCAACACGTACCAGCATGAGTTAACCACTCTTTTTTAAGTGCTTATTGTCGCTACTGCGAAAATCGGCGCCGGCTGACAGAAGAGTCGCCACCGTGCGTTATTTATCCCTCAGAGCGGGAAAGGAAACGCTCGAAGTAAACCTCGCAAAAAACGGGGAAAGGTATGGTCATCGCAACCAAAACCTGGGTTCGGGAGTCGGTTACGCAAGGGGAAGGTATTAGCACCCCTCACGTCCGTCGTACTCGACGGGATCCACGCTTGCTTGGGTTGTCTACTGGATGCAAAACAATTTATCTACGGCTGCTAAATCTAAACGGAAGGGAACTGACTCGATAGAGCGTCGCACTCTACGCCTACGTATTCTCAAGAGAGAAAGTCAGAGTCAACGTAGTTCGGGACTACAGGGAAAAGTGGCTCGCCAAGACCTCGCGTCTTGTGCCTACGTACTTCCACATTGCATGGAAGATCAGAGCTTTACGTAGTTCAGACTAACTACGGCTAAACAAAACATTCTCACACAGCAGTGAGAAAAACAACTGGCTTCACAGGGTCGGGAACCTATGGGCAAAACTATGGTTTGGTCTCAAATGCATTTGGGCAAGAGAGAAAAAGGGTTACAATGAGTCGTTAGCGGGAAAGTCTCGATCGCACAGCCGCGAGAGAACAAAAGTCAGTTGTTAGTGTGCTCGCTAGGATATCGCATCCTATGCCTACATATCCTCGTCTGGTACAAGGAATCAGAGCAGCTGTAGTTCGGCTACTTCGGGACCACAGCTCAAATCTCGTTTTATTAATATCTGAAAAATGATTACAACTGAGTGAATACTGAAAAATAAATCTCCTAGGAAATGCTATCCTATCCTATCCTAAAAAATTGAATGGAAAATAGCCCCCTAACAAATGGGCTTCTAAACTATCCCTAAAATAAACTCCTATGAAAATATATCCTAAAAGAAAATGTGCTCTAAAAATATTAAATCTACTTTAATATTTTTTCTCTTTTTCCTTCTTTTCTTTTCAACATATTTTTCTCTATATTTTTCTCTATTTTTTCACAATATTCTCTCTCTTTTTTCAATATATTTCCATTATTTTTTATACTTCTTTTCTCTCAAAATATTTTCTTTTCCTATTATTTTTTCATATTCTTTTCTTCTCTATTTTTTTCAAATGTATTTCTTTTCAATTCTTTTTCTATTTTCTTTTTCTCTTCAAATTCTTTTTCTATTTTCTTTTATATTCTTTTTTCAATATGCTTTTTCTCAATATTTCTCTTTTGAAATTCTTTTTTCAAATTTCTTTTACTCTAAAAAAAACTAAATGAAATAAAGAAAAATACAAGAGGGGGTGTACTGGTTACAGGGGTGAGTAA